CGGCGAGGCAATCCAGATGACCGCCGGCGCCAATAAGACCGTGGAGCGCATGCAGCAGGCAGCGCAAAAGCTGCGCGCTGCCATCGCTCTGTGCCCAGGGCGGCGCGACGCCTATGGAATGCTGGCGCAGATGGAAATTTTGTGGGACCCGGGCGCGGTGATTTCGTCCTATGCGAAAGCCGAGTCGCTCTCCATGCTGCATGACGAGCTGTGGGCCAAATCGGCCGTCACCGTCTTTGAGCACCTCTACTTGCCGTGCTTGCGTGCAGCTGCGGCCACGGGCGTGCAGCTGACGCCTCCGACGTGGCTTCACGACGAGGGGGTCAAGGCGACGGCATGCGATATTTTGGAGGTGCTGCCTTCTTATGAGGGGCGCGCGGTCCGGATGCACGCCCTCGCCCTGAGCGGCGAAGTCGTAACTCGGGAACCCTAGAAACGAAACACTATACCGCAATCCCCGCTCGACCCGTCTCCCCATCTGTCGTAACGTAATAACTAATATCGGCCCAGGGGTGGGCTAGGGCTGGTGGGTCGTTAGGGTGAGGTGACCTCCATGTGGCGCACATGTATTTACAATTTGGAAAGCGAAGGGCCAAGGGCTGTACTTTACAGTTGTAGTGTGTACAAACGAACAAAGAAAGGTTGTTGATGGCGGAAGAGCGGCTGATCTCCACGTGCGCCTGTGCTGTTGCCGCAGGGCGACCCTCTCGCCACCGTCGGCGGAGGCGACCGTCAGCTAGTGATGCAGTGTCTCCTGAATTTGAGGCTCCGCGCATGGTCAGGGTCGCCCAGTCCTCCTCAAGAATGATTTTTGTATTTTGAGCTGATCTTGGGGCTATAAGCCTACAGAAGCCGAGCGCGTAGCGCGAGGCCCCAAATCGGGTCCATGGCGGTGACCCAGACTAACACCAAAGATCCTCTGCGTTGAACGAGGATCAGGATGAACGCGTCACACGCAAATGAGGTGACGAAGCTGCTGACGGGCCTTGCCAGCTGCAGTACGTAATCCCAAACCCGCTCAGTGGAGAGATGATCACCCTGAAGGGTAATCTGAGAGTCCTCGGTCGAGGGAAGGTCTCGAGCCTCGTGTGTAAAGTTCCGTGTCGTTCCACTCGTGCAGTCTGTGTTGGTTGGAGTCACCTGACGAACCCCCAAAGGTGCGTGGGTTGAGCCCACGTCACCTGGTAAACAAGGACCAACTCCAGGCTCCAAGCGAGCCCTGTCCACGACCTCCTCCTCCATCGTGCTTCTCTCACGCACTACCAAATACGTACTTCCTCACAGTTGACGGTGTGAGGAGAGCCTGCGCATTTTCATGAGACCATGTGTATGCATCGCAGGCTCGCTCATGTGCGGCCGGGCGGCTCCCTCAGGGCACGCATCGCAACGCTGGGCGTGCGGCTGGGCGACTCTCGCAGAATACGCACCGCAGCTGGCTGAGCCTGAGTGTCTTGTGAGTTTGTGTGTCTGTGTGTCGCTCTAGCGTGCGTCATCTCCTGTCCGGCGTCCACCCATAGCGCACGGCCAAGATCATCAACTTCGTGCCTCCGTTTCCATTCTCCAGAGCCAGCGGCCGAGCCCATCCACCCCCAGTGATTACAAACTTTCGGCGACCCGAATTCGGCGAGACCCATTTTCGGCGACCCGATTTGCGACACCAAGTGCTGCAAAAGGAGCCGGTGGACATGTGCTCGGCCTCGCGTGCGCTGTGCTCACCTTCCTGGCGGCGCTGGTGGCGACGCTCGTCGCCTACCAGTCCTATGTCGTGTGCTACGCCGTCCTCGGCGCGGTGCTGCTCGGAGGCCTCTACCTCTTCTTCGTCCACCGCTTCGACTGGCTCTACCCCCCGCTGACGCACACGCCGGAGCACATGCAGCGCTTCCGCGAGCTGCTGGCGGCGCACATGAAGGATCTGGAGGCGCGCGGCCTGCGCCCGTCGGGCCTCACCGCCAAACAGGTCGAGTTTTACAGGGAGCACGGCTTCCTCGTGGTGCCGCACTTCATCCCCAAGGAGCTCGCGGAGGAGCTGTGGAAGGCGACGCTGGGGCTGGCGCCCTACACCTTCCACTGGAACCTCTTCGAGGACTACACCTACAAGACGTACTGCAACTGGATCGACACGGAGATCATCCGCGAGTGGTACCAGCATGGCCCACTCAAGCACGTCGGCAAGGACTGCCTCGAGGCGGTGAAGGCCGAGAACGCCACGCTGCCCAAGGGCGTGACGCGCGAGGGCAAGCGCACGCAGGAGGAGGACAAGGCGATGGCGGGCGAGACGTGGGTGCACCCTGTCGAGCGGGACGAGGTGCACAAGTTCAAGCGCGGCGACGTGACGGATGTGTCGCCGGCCGCGCAGCAGACGATGAAGGAGACGATGACGCCGGAGGAGTGGGAGCGCCTGCACAAGTCGCTGCGCATGAAGGACATGCCCAGCTATCGCGCCAAGTACGGCTGGTTGCTCGAGTACTTCATGGGCCTCGGCCACGAGACGCCCGCGGAGCAGGCGGCGGCCAAGAAGTATCTGCAGCTTCCCGGCTGCCGCATGCTCAACGAGCTCATCCTGGGTGTGGTCGGCGCCAATGATGGCATCGGCTTCCACTGGGACCGCGGCTCCTACTCGCAGCTCTACCACGAGGAGGACGCCGTCTCGACGTGGGTGCAGTTCTCGGACGAGGGCCCCGGCATGTCGATGCTGCGGCAGCGCGACCTGTGCGACGAGACGTGGGAGAATGGCCTGCAGGGGCAAAACTTCGAGCCCGCCTCCGCCGAGGCGAAGGAGCACACCAAGCGCGCCACGCTGCCGTGCCCCACCATGCAGGGCTCCCTCATCATCTTTGACCGCCGCGAGATCCATCGCACGACGCCCATCGAGCGCGACTACGACGCTCCGCTCAAGCTTCGCACGGTCTCCGTCGCGCGCTGGATTGCGCCCGACGCGCCCCTCTCGGGCGCCGGGAAAGACGTGCCGCTGCACGCCATCCCCAACGCGATGCAGGCCTACATGCTCGGCGCGCGCAACTACTTTCTCCGCCCGCTTTCGGACGCGGGCCGCACGCTCGCCGACACGCTGCGCCCGACCACGTCGGTCTACCGCCACGCCGCTCGGCCCAAGGGCCCCGACGGCGCCTGCCCGCGCGTCGACGAGAAGCACGTCGAGTCCATCTTCCCCGAGCTCATCCACGGCAAGTTTCCCACGCAGTTCACCATCGACTACACGCAGTGGGAGCTCTGGAAGGACTATCCGTGGTATTACAAGTCGGAGTTTATGCAAAAGTGGAACTCCGGCAAGCTCACCACCCCCGCACGCTGGTGGCGCCTCGTCCGCGAGTTTCCGCTGCACTCGCGCTTTGACTGACCCCGACGACGGCCAGGACGACGACGCGCCACCGCACAGACGCCAAGTGACGACGCGCTCGCAGAGAGCACTCGCACCGGTGCCAACCGCCGACATACCCGACCGCCCCCGGACGCTGCCCCCCGGACGCCGGCACCCCTTACCGTCCCCTTTGACGACCACGCGTGGGAGAAGCTCCAACTCCACGAGCTCATCAAAGCCTTCGGGATCACCCCCCCCACACACACAAGTATTTGCGTGCTTGGGTGTGATGCTGTGTCATGATACACCGCCCAGGCCGCCAGCATCGCCGCTGCGCACCGCGGCGTGGGGCGCAGCAGCGTGCCGTTCGGCTCGGTGTGAACAGAGTTCGTACACCGAGCAGCAGGGAGCGTCTGCAGCGACAGTCGCTTCAACTTCACCGCCGTGGCGAGCCTGGCAAGGTCGTGCTCCTCGCAAACTCTCGGCGGCCCCCCCTGGAGCACCCACCTGGCACTCTTTGGCCGGCGCCCACAGCTGCGATGCGGTCGTGCGCGCGGATGCGAGCGACGTCGAGTTTGAGCGCGACGCATAAGCGCGCATTGGTGAGAGCGTACCTCGAGAGTGGCGCGAGTGCGGGTGTCGCGGAGAGTTGCCGTAGTGTTCCTTCACCATAATACTATCTTAAAAAAAGCACTGGCGCGCGTCCGAGGACACACCTCCTCCTCTCTCCCCCTCTGCGCGTCAGCTCTGCGCAGCAGAGCCCCAGACTCTGGAATGGTATGTTCGTCCACTCTGCGCGCCGCGCCGCGCGCTGGCGGTGCAGCCGCGCCGAAGGCGTAGAGCCGCGCGAGGCATCGGTCGATCAAAGGCATCGGTGAACATGTCGATCTCGCTGGATCTCGCTTTACATGGAGGTACGTTGCCAAGCTGCGGGCGGCGCGGCGGCTGTGGGCGGAGCTGATGAAGCAGCACTTCGACACCAAGAAGGAGAAGTCGCTCCTGCTGCGCACTCACTGCCAGACCAGCGGCTGGTCGCGCACTGCGCAGGAGCCGTACTAGTACAACAACGTGATCCGCACCAGGGTCGAGGCGATGGCCGCGGTGATGGGCGGCACGAATTCACTGGGCGGCACTGGTTAGTTCATTACGCGTTCATTAGGCGATGGCCGCGGTGATGGGTGGCACGCAGTCGCTGCACACAAACTCGTTTGACGAGGCCACCGCACACCGCGACCCGCACACCCGCACACCCGCGACCGGCACACCCGCACACCCGCGGCCCGCACACTAAGGCATACGCCGCGCATAGCATGTGCGGCGGGCTCTGCCGGGGATGGGGCTGCTGCGAGGCGCGGGGCGTGGCGCAGCCGCAGGATGGGAGCGGCGAGGCGCGAGGCGAGGGCGAGGGCGAGGGCGAGCTGAGCTCGGATGGCGACTCGGACGGGGGGGAGGAGGGCGTGGACTGGTTTGCGGGAGACCCTG